GACCAAGTTGGAAAAACAGACAAAGGGCTGGGTGGGAGGGAAGACGCAGGTAGGGTACCAACCCAACAATACTTTCCTCCGGCCCTAATCAACAGATAAAAATAAATAAAATAAAATAAAAGAGGACTACTTCCCCTTTTTTTTTTTTTTTTTTTTTTTTTTTTTTTTTTTTTTTTTTTTTTTTTTTTTTTTGGGAGGTACACCACACACACAACGTAAATTTCATTCGATTCATATATCACCTGCAGAACATAAGAAAACTTCATCTCAGCCGAAAGGCTGCTTTGGCGCTATCACAAGTGTTCTTTTTTTTTTTTTCTTTTCCCATGAGAGTATTTAGTTCCTCTTGGAAAAAAAAAAAGCTGAATTAGAAATACAATTAAAAAGTCCTGGGGCCTCGTCCCACTTACACCGTTGAGGTTGCTCAACGTTGGGTTTTCAACGCCGTGTGGCACAGGGCGACGCACGGGATGGGGCGGTCCGCTGTACATCGCGCGGTCGATTTTTGTGACGTTCCGTATTCGCCGAAAAACTTTGTTTTCTTCGACGGGAAATGCGTGGAAAACTGGAATACCTCGTTTAGAACGCCCCTTACCCTTCTACGCTTCCGTTGAGCTAGCTGTAGGGAAAAAAGCAGACAGCTAGCTCAACGCTTCTTTTTTTTTTTTTTCCTTGCGTATCGATTATGTTTTTCCCGATTCGTCATCATTGCAGGATGTCAGACCCTTAGCGGCCGCCTGCATATACGGGCTGACGGCGCAGCTCCACAGAACTGTTTCACACCGTAAAGGTTTTGAGTCGGGTGCGAGTGCATGCATGTGCCKCGAATGACGACCACGTACAYTGGTTCGTGCGTTTCATCGCCAGGCCAAAGTCGCTATACCCACAAAACGCATGTCCGGAGAGGCCCAATGTCGGACATGAGTCGGGTCGTAGCTGTGGTCCAGGTGGATGCGAATCTATAGGTCTCTCTCTCTCTCTCTCTCTCTCTCCCTCACGAGGGCAAGCTTGCCAGTTCGCATCCCGTACGAGTTCAACCAGCTCGTACGAGGGCTTGATTTGCACTCCTGCAGCTGATACGAGGGCTTGACTTGCAGTTCGCATCTCGTACGAGGGCTTTGTTTGCAGTTCGCATGGGATGCGAGTGCCGCCAGCTCAGAGGAGGGCTTCTCTTGTAGTTGGCAGCAGTTGGCAGCTCTTACACACACACAGGCAGCTTCGTTTGCAGCTCGCATCTCCCACAAAGAAAGCTCTCTCTCTCTCTCTCTCTCTCTCTCTCTCTCTCTCTCTCTCTCTCTCTCTCTCTCTCTCTCTCTCTCTCTCTC